AAATTTGAATATCATATTTGAAAACGCATATTTTTAAAATGACGAAAACACATTTTAGGATTTAATTTCAACATGCGCATATTCAATTATGAAACAATCGTTTTTAAAAACGATTTGAAAATGTTCGTATCAAAAACAAAAACATGGATTTTGGAAATTGAATTGAAAATTTTCGTTCTGAAAATTTAAATAAATATTGTAGGTGCAAAACCTGGGTCAAAACGTTTTTAAAAGTAAAACGTTTCATACAAATTTGAAAACGAAAATTTCTCTGTGTGCTACTTGAGGTGGAGAGAATACAGAAGGAGGCGCCGATGGCTATACCGCTAATCGGCTGTCAGTGAATTCAACAGAATCAGCTGTTTTGCTGACGCCACAGTCGAGATGACAGCAGTAGTGATGTGCTGAGTCAATACTTTTAAGAATCCAATACTCTCGATACTCGGTACCGAAATATTTAGGTTTCGAATAAAAGCGCACATGGGCCAAAAATCAAAACCCGAATGTAGGAGCCAATAGAGCTTTTAAAACTGATTCAAATGAAAGATGTATATATGTCGGTTCGAGGCCATAATACAGAGAAACTCTTACTTGTTTGAAGCATTTTTGTTCCAGCTGAATCGGACGATATAATTTTTGTAGGCAGATTCTGTAGCCTCTTAGGGACAGATTCTGTAACCAGTTAGCGACAATTTTCGAACCGGTATCGGTTTTGTTGACGTATGATATGAAATATGTTTACGTCAACAATTGCGATATCGATCCGATATCATATAAATTAGTAATGAAAGTTTTTTCTAAACTTGAAATGCATATAATGGCGAAGGTTTAATGCAAAGAATCAGTGTCGGGCACCGATAAGGAAGTATTGGGTACCGAAACCTTTTTTAAGTATTGGGTACCGACAATTCAGCACATCACTAGACAGTAGTTTTATTTGCCGCTCTCAGTTATCAACTCTACGGTGACGTCGCGCCAAAATTACTCTCACGAATTCTGCTGTAATTGGCGTAATCTTGTTTCTATCATTCTTGGGATGAACGAACATCATGGGGCACCGAAATTGCGCATATGGAAACTGTGCATTTAGACATTATTTCGGTTTCAACCGAAACTGTGCATGTATGCTTTATTTCGGTTTTTACCATATGCATTATTTCGGTTTTAAACCGAAACTGTGCATGTATGCATTACTTCGTTTTTTTTTCATATGCATTATTTCGCTTTTAAAACGAAAGTATGCATATGCATAATTTCGGTATTTTCTCATATACATTATTTCGGTTTTCAACCGAAACTGTGCGTGTATGCATTACTTCGGGTTTTTCATATGCATTATTTCGGCTGTCAACCGAAACTGTGCATGCATGCATTATTTCGGTTTTTGTTATATGCATTATTTCGTCTTTCACATATGCTTTATTTCGGTTTTCATCCGAAACTGTGCATGTATGCTTTATTTCGGTTTTTGCCATATGCATTATTTCGGTTTTGAACTGAAATTGTGCATGCATGCATTATTTCGGTTTTTGTTATATGCATTATTTCGGTTTTCTAACGAAAGTGTGCATATGGATAATTTCGTTTTTTCTAATATGAATTATTTACTTCTACTTAGTAAGGGTTTTAATCCCTAAGCGCGGCCGAAGGCCGCCTACGCAGAGAAAAGTTCTGCGCAAAAATACGTCCGCCCTTCTTTTCCGGCAATACAGAAAGGAGAATTCTACTTAGTAAGGGTTATAATCCCTAAGCGCGGCCGAAGGCCGCCTACGCAGAAAGAAGTTCTGCGCAAAAGTACTTCCGGCCCCCTTTTCCGGCAACAGAGAAAGGAGAATTCTACTTAGTAAGGTTTATAATCCCTAAGCGCGGCCGAAGGCCGCCTACGCAGAGAGAAGTTCTGCCCAAAAATACTTCCGCCCTTCTTTTCCGGCAACACAGAAAGAAGAATTCTACTTAGTAAGGGTTATAATCCCTAAGCGCCGCCGAAGGCCGCCTACGCAGAGAGAAGTTCTGCGCAAAAATACTTCCGGCCCCCTTTTCCGGCAACACAGAAAGGAGAATTCTACTTAGTAAGGGTTATAATCCCT